ATAGACGCTTATTTTGAACCATCATATTGGCCTACACAATTAGATGATTTCTAAGTTGTAACCAAGAAAATTTGTTTCATGGGGATGTGACGGACGGGCTTCTACAATAGCAATGTTTTAAAAAATGACCCAGAAACAGAACCGTTTTGGTCACCGGTTTTTGGGTCAATGGTCCGATCATCTAGTTCGAACAGATGGTTCGTTTTGACAGGAAAATTTAAAAAATTAAAAAATAATTGAAAAATAAAAAAAAACAGTCAAAAACCGTTGAATGGGTCAACGGTTCAACCACCCGGGTCAACATTTTATTTAACTTTTTTAATGATTTTTTACCAGATTCCAGGTTTATGTAAAAACAGAATCGATTACTTAGACGGTTCCTAGGTCGAACGGTCTGACCGTCCGAATCAACGACAGTTCAAAAACACTGTACAATAGTCCTTCATTGCATATGATCCACAGAAAAGCTTGTCCTAATGTCCCATTGGCAACAATGCCACTTGAATGCAATTTCATTTCCATACATGTTATAAAAAGATTGAACCAATTCATTTACCCCAAACTAAAATCTAGCCAGCCAAGGGGTGTTGGTCCTCAATGGACACATCCGTCATTGTGTAGTAATTAACCGAGCTCCAGCGATAATATATAATACACTATTCTATTTACCAATATCACAATGTGCACACCACCTCTGCTTCTAAGTTTGGGGTGGGGTGCCCACGGTTTGGTTACTAAATCGTGAGTTTTTTTCTTTTTTTTAATTGAACCAGTAATATTGGTTTTTGGAAAATCAGAAATCTAAATTGAACCGAAATCAATCGGTTAATCAGTTGATCGGTTCGATTAACCATCGGTATGGTTCATCAGTTTTTGATTTTTTAATTTTTATAATATTATATAATAAAAATTATAAATATATAAAAAAATTATATTTTAAATAATAAATAATATATCATATATTATAAAGATATATTTATATATAATGCATATTTATTAATTTCTAATATAGAAAATATATAGAAAGATGTGTATATCGGTCGGTTCGGTTAATAGCCGATTTTCTATATTGGTTAACCGAAACCAAACCAGTACCTTTGGTTTTTTTAAAAACACCAAACCAACCGATTCGGTTAACCGATTTTTTTATTTGATTTCGGTCAGTTTAATTTTCTATTTTTTTTCTCACCCCTATTCTAATTTCTAACTAAACAATGGTGTCCAACTGCCCTTCTTTGTCTCTCTCTTCCCAATTGACCCTTACCGCCATCATCTTCTTCCTCATCTCATTTGCTTTTTATCTTTCTTTGTCAACATATACTACTACCACCACTAACAACAGTAGCAAAACAAGCAAGGCAATTGGGAGTCGCTTCACCAAAATGTAAGCCTTCGGYGACTCATTCACCAGTATAGGAAACACACATTCAGTATCCACTAGCCCAACCAATTTTGATCACGTGTCTCAACTTCCCTATGGCATCACTTTCTTTCGCCATCCCACCAACTGGTACTCTGGCATATCGTATCAGTATCAGTGGTATACCAGTCGTAGTGTATCGCTACAATACGTTACTGTATTGGTGGGTATCGCACCATATCAAACGATAAAAGATGATATGATACATGTGATACACGAATACGTGCACAACTTCTATCCTAAAAAATGTTGCGTCTGGCACGATTGGACACAAGTCTTACTTGCGCTTTAAGGTGCTTAGCAATTTAAGCCACTAAGCCACCGTTTAATTTGTGATGATAAATGAAATACAATAATTGTTATTATCTTTATTGTAAAAATACAATCTAAATAAATGTCATATCTTTATATTCAATAGTTCCAACATAAAATTAAATAGAATAATATTAAAATTTATTATTTATAAATATAAATGAAATAAATAATCTACTAATTTATATTAATATCAAAAAAATTGATTTCTTTACTTAATAAATTTATACAAATAAAAATATTAATAGTAGAATAATTATTTTAGTACTTAAAAATCATACATTTGTATATATATAATTTTAATATATTTTTATAAATTATTAATTGATATTTTAATTTACACTAAATAATAACATATTTATTATTTATAAAATAAAAAAATTGTTTACAAAATATTCAAACATATAATATTATATTGAATATATTAAATACACTAATTTAAATTTATATAAAAATGATTTATTATTTTAGAACAAATATTGAAATAAAAGTACTAATAATGGAATAATAATTTTTGTAATTAAAAATTATGAATTTGCAATATTATATGCTTTTAAAAGTTTTAATATATATAGATTTGAAATATTTTAAGTTAACATTATATATTTTATAAATTATCAATTGATATTTTGATTTACATTTTAGAATAACATATTTATTATTTACAAAAATAAATATATTGTTTATCAAACATTTCAAAATTTAATATTTGGTTGACTTTTTCTGTTAATGTTGAAAAGTAAAAATATTAAAATAGAAAACAATTGATATAGTAATTAAAATATAATAGCATTTGTTTGTGTCTTGGAAATAAATAGAATATAACATAATAATGGCTTTATGCATGTGTTAATTTGTAAAGGTCTATATAACATGAGTCTTAGACTCCTGATTGATGGATTATCAACAAAATTGTATAATATCTATACATCTCATAATATTAATTGTAATACATTTTTTTATATATACCATTAAAATATACATTTCTTATGTATTTATATCTTATTTGTGGTTGTTTTGACCTTAAAGCTAGTGTAATTGATGTAATTACGAAATTTGTATCTATTTTCATAGCATATTCATGTGTTTTCATATTTTTCGTTTGTATCCATGCGTTTTCAAAGCATATTTGTATCTGTATCCATATCCAAGTTGTTTGATACGATACCCGATACTAATACTTTGATCTGTGTTTGTAGTAGAATCACTGCCCTTACCATATTTACCACTAGGGATAGCCACAAGTTGAGCCTTTCACGAGCTATTCGAGCTCGATTCGTGAGGCTCGCGAGCCTAGTATTAAATAAATAATTTTTATTATATATATATATACATACATACATATAATAAATAATTTTTTATATATAATAATGTTTTTATTTTTTATGTATAATAGTAAATAATTTTTTGTATATATAATAATAAATAATTTTTATAATTCTTAATTTTTTTGTCTGAAAAATAAAAACAAAATAATTTATGCATATATTTTTTATTTTAAAAAAACTTGGCTTATAGTCGAGCTCAAGCCGAGTCGATCTCGAACTTGCAAGCTATGAACCGAGCCAAGCTCGAGCCTAATACTTTTCCTACGAGTTGAGCTCGAATAGCCAAGTATTCAGCTCGGTTCAGCTCGAATCAACCCCTATTTAACACCTTAAGGCTGAGGGTCAATTTCGTAGTGGTTGGGTCCATAACATCAACCATGACTTCTTTGTTCATAACAATCTCATACTTAATAGGACTCCTTAGCCCTTGCACATTTAGCTTACTTGGTTTAACAAACTCTTGGAAGGGCATGGATGCAAAGGGTTAACACTGACAGCCTAATGTAGAGCGGAGTTGGGTGAGGCATTATTTTGGGTGGGCGAGATCAAGGTGAAGGATTATGCTTACCTTTTGGGGATGTTGTATCTCAAATCCTTGTTCAAGATTTAGCCATCTACAATGTTATCGGGTTTTTACAGGTATGTTGATGATTTCTTCTCACCGAGAAAAGGGTAGTTTGAGGATTTTAAAAAAATTAAACAACTAAATGAGAATCTTTTTTTCAGGTTAACTGACAAAATACTAATAGAGGGGTTCTTTGTCTAACAGTCAAAGTTCAAGGGGGCCTTTGTCGCAAAAAAAAAGGTGCATACGATTTTCATCACTGACACCATAGTAGAGGGAGGGGTCCTTGTAATTTACCCTCTTTTTATTTTGGACAAACCTAAAAAAATGGACAAATTTCTTAAAGTACCCCTAAGTTTTAAGAAATTGAATAAATCTACCCCTACTATACTATGATAGTATAGTGAATCCCAATCTCATGTTGAGATTTAATAATGTCGAATCATGTTGGGAGGGTGTTGGAACATTTCTGTTGACAAATAATCCCAATTTGATTTATATTTGTACATTTCAAACATGTGTGTTGTGTGTACACATTGAAAATCCGGATTTGCTCCTTATACCAACCTCACAACACTTGTGATCCATTTGACCAGACCCGATCCATTTACAACCCTTATAAACTACGATTAATTTGCGCCTCTCCCTCTTCATGAGAAGGAAAAACCCTCCCCCCCCCCCCTTTTCCTATTATCGCCATTTTTTTGTCTTTTTTTATTTTATCAACCAAGTTTTTGAAGCATTAAGTAGGGTATAATTATTGAGTCCTCCCAACAAAATATGTTCCAACTAGCTCCCAAGATGATTTATAACTGCACATATTTAAAACATGTCGTACATATTGAAAAATCCAGATTTGTTCCTCATACCAACTTCACTTGCATCCACACATCATTTACCTTTCCCATATATTATCGTTATGAAATATTCCCAATGCTCTGCTGCATCTCACTGTGAATATTCCAACAAGATCTGTATCCACACATCTCAGACATGATGGGTAATCTTATGGTGAGATGTGCGGACACAGATCATGTTTGAAGCGTGTCAGGACACTCCGGATCTCTTACCCACGCCTACCCACAATACACCACCCCCGTGAATTGGAAATATCTCCCCCTGCATAATACTATACAGAGGATGAGATGTTCTCCATGTGTGGCTGCACAAACGTGGGCAGGAGATCCGGACTCGGCTTTTCTTAGGAATAAATCCCAACTCTTGGTGGGTCCTCCTAACATCGAAACTTTCCCGCTTCCTCCAATGTCCTGCTGTTCTAGAGTCTAGACCCTTGACAACTTCTCCTCCTGAAGGTTTCTGAATACATGAGATCATGTCTTTGAAAACCCAAAATTCATAACACCTGGACAATAGCTAGCTTGAAAGCAAATGTTCTAAATGATCGATATTCATAAAATTGTATACAAATATAGCAATATATAATACGTATTAGGAAACAAAGAAATAGACATCCTTGGATAGAAAGCTTAACTACAATACCCACAAATTGGACATGATTCCAGCTAAAAACTGAAGTACCACACCGTATATTTTCAACCGCTACAGGCTACAGCTACAATGTCAGCCACTAAAAACAATGTTTAACCCCACTGACTTTAGTAACTATTGCCTTCCTCGCTTCAAGCTGCAAGAAGGACATTTATACTGCTTTATGTTTTCAGCCTTCGCAGGTGTTATTTTCACACATTTTCCATGGAACCACCTCTCACAGATGTCACAGCCAATCCAGAACTCATCAGCACTATAATTCCCCCCACAACTTCCACAAAGTGTTTCACTATGTTCTTCGTCATCCTCCCCATAGCTCTCGTCAGCCAACTTTGAGTTGCTTTTCACCTGCCCATCACTTGACCTCTGCTAGAGCAAGAAAACATGGGTTATAGATCTTAAATTATTAAAGGAATCGGGTGGAACAGGGGAAACTGTAATTCAGCCTTGACCAGTCTCACTTTTGTGCTAAGCCTGGGTTTGCTTCCGCTGTCTGCACTGGGCTTCTCTTTAACAGGCTTTCTTTCTGATACGACTTCAAATACCGTGGGCAAATCATTAATCAAACTAAATAGACGCTTCCTGCCACCATAAAGTAACACAGATAATAGAGATTGGAAAAAATGGCCTGCTACCATGGATGATACTGCGTAGGAGGTACAAAAATTGTTCACATTGAACAACCCTAACCATAGTCTATGAGATTTTCTAGGACTGTCAAAGGAACATAAAGTCCACAACAAAATTGTCGATGTTCCATGAAAAAACAACCACAATGTGGCTAACTGCATTTCATATGGATGCATGAAAGACATCTTAACATGAACTAAAATACTATTTAAAACACCTTACAGGAAAATTAAAAAATATATATATATATATATATATATATGAAATTATAATTATCAGAATATGCATAAATAGTATATCATGGTTTCCTTCTTTTTAACTCAAAACCTCCTAGGGGTAAACACCTTAGTTACCATTAAAATAACAAAAAGGAAATCTGTTCTATTAGTCCGCCCAATACAGAAAACTGGGCAATGTGTGCCAGGGTGGTCCTTTGTCTTTTTTTATGGACATTATTGTTTCATGCTGGTGATTTGTAATTCAATTTTGTAAAATCTGTCATTTTGACTTTTGAGAATGTAGCTCAATTCGCTTGTATTAGTATGCTCCTGAGGTAGGACCAGCTCAGTTCTAGTCCTTAGAGAATGTTGAATGGTCTTCTTGATCAAAGTTTTATGGCTGTTGATGGCTGTAATGGTTTCTTGAAGGAACAAAAGAGAAAATAGGGAGAGAAAAAAGAGAGAAAATACATTGATCAAAAAAGAAGAGAGAAAATACCTGGAATCACTAACAGGGTGCCTAGAATCACTCACCATAGCTAGCATAAGCTGAAGAAAACTCAACATATTTCATTGCCTTTGTGTAAAATGTCCATACATATTATTTGTAGACTCTAAACTCATAATAATCCTAGGAGTCAAACTATTAGACTCAATAATCCTATTAGGATTCAAACTAAGCTATCGTATCCTATTTCAATTCAAAGAAGACTCAATAACTCTAATCCTACTTATGCAATGACTCTGAAATTTTAAACATAAACAAACTATAACTAGACAATTTAAACCCTATCATTGGACCCCCACAAAAAATGCAAAATGACAAAAATACCCTTAGTATTCAATTCAGTCCAAATCCCAAGTACCATCACTATGCCATATCAGAACCTGTTGTAAGGCCTTCTTCTTTCTAGAATAAGTCTTCAAAGATGCTGATTGATTCCTATCATCTCTCCCCGGCTTGAATTCGAGTTAAAAGCATGGTACCTTTCATAAAGATCTGGGTCGAGACAATGAAAGTCTTCAACAATGACCCAAGAACTCTCAGACATAGGCTTGCCTTTCCACTTGACAAGGAATTTCTGATACCCTCATGTAGCAGTAGATATTATGTCCTCATCTAAAACAACCTTTGGAATGCCATTTGGAGCCGCAATAGTTGGCAATTTAGGTATAGGAGTCTTAAAAGAATCAACATGTCCATGGCAAGGAGTCAAGTCCTCAACATTGAAGATAGGACTAATTCCCATGTGATCTGACAACTCTAGAACATAGGCATTAGAACTTATCTTCTTGATGATTTTGTAAGGACCGACACTCTTTGAGTGGAGCTTCTTGTACACACCTTTAGGAAGACGTTCTGGTCGTATACGTACCATAACCATGTCTCCCTCTTGATAATTTGCCAACTGTCGATGAATATCAGTTCTAGCCTTGTATAAATCATTGCTCAATGCAATTTTTCTCTTAACATCATCATGTCTCTCTCTTATGTGCCTAGAAAATGCTCCTGCTTCAATGTTGGTACGTGTATCTGGTGCAAGGTAACTAAGTCAATTGGCCGCTTAGGCTGAATACCGGTTACCACTTCAAATGGACTTCTTCCTATGGATCTATTTACTGAGCTGTTATAAGCAAACTTAGCTATTGGAAGAACTAGATCCCATCTAGAAGTATGATTACCAACTAGACACCATAAAAGATCTCCCAAGCTTCTATTTACTACTACATCAGTTTGAACATCTGTTTAGGGGTAAAACGATGTAGAAAATTTCAGCTGAGTATGGAGTAGTTTCCAAAGTGTCTTCCAAAAATAACTCATAAACTTGGTGTCTCGATCTGATACAACAGTAGAAAGTACTCCATGAAGTCGAAATGAGCCATCTTGGAGAAATGATCCACCACAACATAGATTGTATTGTGACCCCTAGCAGTCTTAGGCAATCCAAGGACAAAATCCATGGATAGATCTTGCCAATGGTTCATGAGGAATAGGTAGGGGTGTATATAGCCCCTGTGTTTTACTTTTGTCCTTTGGCAAGTTGGCGTATCCTGCATTATTTTATTATATGAGCAACACCATTCTTCAAACTAGGCCAATAAAATCTATCTTCCACCATAGCAATGGTCTTATCTCTACCAAAATGACCTACTACACCTCTAGCATGTAGCTCCCAAATAGCAAAGTCCCGTAAAGAGGTATTTGGTAAATATAAGCGGGTATCATAAAACAGATAACCATTATGCAGTGAAAAGGAAGGATACTCATCTTGCTTCCCAGCTTGTAAGTCAGCATAGATGATGCTGAAATCCTTACAAGTATAGTTTTCCTTTAGTTGATCAAAACCAATGACTTGGTTTTCCTTAAGAACGAAGGTGTATTCTTGTAAGAATGAAACCCACTTCCCATGCCTATAGTTTAGTTTCTTTTGGGAATTCAAGTACTTTAAAGCTTTTTTTTTTTATCAATAACACTTTCATTAATTCATCAGTAGAAAATTTACAAGTGGAAGACAAACACACTTATCTTCCAAGAGTCACAAAGAACTTCAAGAAATGARAAAAGAAAATACAAAGATACAAAGACACTAACGTTACAGCTTAGCCCAAAACAAAGAATCCCTTTCTGCCCCTTGTTTTGCTAAACCGTCAGCTAGGGAATTAGCTAATCTTTTAATCCAACATGTCTTAACTTCCATCTCCCACACCAGCCATTTGAATTTCCTCTTCTCATTATTATACTTCCATAAATCATTTTGATCTTTAGTCGGCCACCCTATCACCACCTCTAAATCCCCTTCAATTATAAGTTTCTTGATGTTCAATTCCTTAGCTTTCCGGTCTCCTTCCATAACTGCACATATCTCAGCTCTAAGGAGTCACCCACTCCAATTGGGCCTGAGAACAAAGCAGAGATGACCCCATTTTCATCTCTAAAAACACCCCCAATCCCCGATTGTCCCGGGTTTCCCCTACTGCATCCATCAACGTACTTTAAAGCTTCATGATCTGAATAGAGCACAAACTCCTTTGATATAAAGTAGTGTCGCCAATGTCATAGAACTTGCACTACTGCATATAACTCCTTGTCGTAAGTTGAACATTTCTGCTTGACTTCATTTAGTTTCTCACTATGAAATGCAATGGGATGGCCTTCTTGCATGAGAACCCCTCCAATTCCTACACCAGATGCATCACATGCCACTTCAAAGACTTTAGAGAAATCTAGAAGTTGTAAAATAGGTGCCTCTATCATTTTCTTCTTGATAGTCTCAAATGCCTTTGTTGCTGCCTTGGTCCAATTAAATTCACCTCTTTCCATTGCATCTGTAATTGGAGCCATGATAGTGCTGCACCCCTTAATAAATATTCTATAAAAAAGTTCCTAGGCCGTAGAAACTTCTAATCTCTTGAAGATCGGTAGGTAGGGGCCATTCTAAGATAGACTTCACATTCTCGGGATCAACACTTGTGCCTTTAGCAGAAACAACAAACCCCAAAAATATAACACTGGGTGACATGAAAGAGCATTTCTTTAAGTTGATGTAGAGTTTCTCTTGGCATAAAACTCTCATCACTTGACGTAGATGATCAATATGCTCTTCTAGACTAGGGCTATATATAAGAATATCATCAAAATAAACAACAAAGAAACGACCAATGAAGGATCGAAGTACCTGGGTCATCATCCTCATGAAAGTACTAGGGACATTGGTTAGTCCAAATGGCATAACTAACCACTCATATAAGCCATTTTTGTCTTAAATGTTGTCTTCCACTCATCACCAGGCCTAATTTGTATTTGATGATAGCCACTCCTTAGATTGATCTTAGAAAAAATGGTCACTCCAGCATCATATCAAGCATGTCATCAAGCCTAGGAATTCGGAACCTATACTTCATAGTAATTTTGTTGATTGCTCTACTATCAACACACATATGCCAAGAACCATCTTTCTTTGGAGTGAGAAGAGCTGGARCAGCACATGGAATAAGGCTTTCTCTAATAAAACCTTTCTTTAGGAGTTCATCAACTTGTCGTTTAAGTTTAGCTTGCTCTATAGGATTCATACATGTGACCCTAGTTGGTAAGTTTAGCTTGCTCTATAGTAAGTTTAGCTGGTAAGTTGGGCAATTGTGACCCTAGCTGCAAGTCAATAGCATGTTGAATGTCTCTCATGGGCGGTAACTCATTAGGTAGCTCTTCTGGTGCCAAATCTGAAAACTCATCCAACACTCGGACCACTTCTTTAGGCATTTCAATAGGTGGAACAACATCTGGTTACATTACCACCTTGGACATTACAACATATACAACTCCTGTCTCCTTGCTTTCTACTTCAAATTCTTTTTTGGAGAGAAAATGAAATGGTTTTTTCTTAGATTCGGCAATGGGCCCTTGGGCTGTAGTCTCCTTTTGAGGTGGTCTGGTATGCCTTTTAATAACTTCTGGTGACATTGGCTTCATGATAACTTGCTTCCCATTAAATAGGAAGCGATAGGTGTTCTCCCTTCTACAATGGTAGATATCCCTATCATACAACCAAGGCCTTCCAAGCAATATGTGTGTAACATTCATAGGAACAATGTCACACCAAATAGAATCAGAATAACTACCATAAGAAATAAAAACAATGCCTTGTTTAGCTACCGGAATTGTTGTCTTATCAACCCAAGCAATCTTGTATGGTTGTGGGTGTGGTTGTGGTGTCAACTTTAGCCGATCCACAGTGA